TTTTTAAGCTATCGCTAGATATATTTGTTTGTTGGTGAACTTAGTCGTTGCAAGTAGTATCTCCCTATTCCGGTTTCGGGAAGATGGTCAGAATTATTAATTCATGTGATTTTAATTTACAAATCAATAAACTTAAGTATTAAGAAAACTAATTACTTTAATTGAATTAAATTTACTTATTTAAAAATGTTGGAGAAATAAAATTTTAAAATAATATTTCCTGATTATAATGATTAAAAAATAATTTTTGAAGAAAATTTTTACAATGTTGAAAAGCTTATTAAATATGTAATCATATGTTATAAATATATCTAAGGTGTCATTGAGAGCAAACAAAATAAATGCTATGATGGCAGGAGTATATTATTTCTACATGCTCGTCTTGCGTTTATGAAATACTTTGAGGCAACCTAAAGGATTACATTAAGAGGAATGCTTTTCATATTGAAAACGATAAGAAACAAAACAGATTTTAATATGACAGAAGCATTTAGAGAACTCCAAACGCAGCATGTTGCGAAGTTGGGAAAAATAAAAGTTGAAATTTTATTACTTTAAAATACTTTGAAGAGATCATAAGTATTGCAATAATCTGCAAAAAAAAAAAAAATAAAATAAAAAACTCAATATACTTGTGTAGTTATTTCAAAATATTTGCAAGTGAAATAAAAATATATGATTTGATTCCTTGCTTACTTACTTAAACTAAATGTCTATGTACTCATACGCGTCTACCAGTGAACCGGTTGAAAGTGCCTCAAATGCACTACAGATTCCTACTATTTACGAACAATAAAAGTTTTGCCAGTTATTTATATTGTAGTCCCGTAAGTACTACGAGTATAGTACATCTATACGTATATGTAATATATGTTTTTACTTATGTTTATTGTATAGCGATTTATGTAGGTTCAAGGAAATGTGCATTGCACGCTGGCGATAAAGTAAATCTACATCTTACACATACCTTATGAAAGTCTTATAGAGATCAAAGTTGAGATGAATCTAATCCTGAGATACTGCGATGCTTGCTGAAGCAATTTAATCATCAAGTATCGACAACATCAATTTTATTTATATATCATAATTATTAACAAAAAAATTATTTAAGCTAATCTGGATTATCTATGCAATTAAAAAAAGAAAACAAAATTTTATATTTAGTAGCATTTATTTATGCGAATATAGGTTAATTCATGTATATGTGCCCATATAAATATCTGCACATATTCTATATCTATACTCATATGTACGTACATACGAATACAATATGTCAGGATACTGCGAAAAATTCAAACTTTTAATCTGAAGTACTAAAATGTTACATTATTGAGATTTTTGGCTTAATGTTTTTTTTCCATTATTTTTTTTTTTTTTGGTGATTCGTATGCGCTACAAATTTGTACAATTTTAGGTATAACCTTTGAACGCTATTAGGAGCCGAAAAGCTGTTACGTGGAGCTGTAATAAATAGTGTGCAATAGGTTAAAGTAGAACTATTTTCAGAAATTAAATTTTTAACTTTATGTGCAAAGTAAAGGATGTCTGGAGTCATTAACAATAGAAGAAGGAGCAACATCGAGTTTTGCCTTTGAGTAGAGAAATGTCATTTAAAATTTATTTTATACAATTAACCGTTAAAAAGTAAAAATGTATTTCCGCCATTGACTGGCGAAAATTGCTGCTCTATTTAAGTAAAAATATTATTTAAATGGAAACGATAATATTGCTGCGATATATTGGAAAACACTATTCTACTCTAGAATACTATTCTACTAAACATTATATACATGCAGTTATAATTAAATTCTATTTCTATTCAATGAATAGAAAGTATTATTTAAATAAGTCTATTAATTTTATATATGTAGTTTGGTTTGTATGTATGCTTCTAATTCAAGGTCATTAATTTAGATGAAAAGTGCAGCATGCTTTTAGGTGCATGACCGACTGCTGTAGAATTAACCAAACCTGCAGTAGGGAAAGAGTTGATTCCATTTTAGACTTAGCGTACGAAATTCCAGACAAGTTTTTTAGTGCGTTCCGTGCCAAAAAGTATAATATGAAAAGTGGTTTTGTTGCTTTCGTTGCTATGTGTACTTTACGACACAAGTGGCATTTGCCCCTACTTTGCGGCAGCAAGTGTGAAAAGAAAAACAATAAAGGAGCACCGAAACGAAAGCATGGCAATAGCAATGCAATTTAAATGTAGGAACAGGAACATAAATTCTGGAATTTAGGACCAACGCGACAAAACCGCTTTTGACGCATATACAATATTAAACAAAGCAACAACCACAAACCATTGCCATCTCTAAAATAAACTCTGAAATAAAATATTTTCGCGTTTAAATGTAATCGTACCTGTTTTGTAGTCCCTATTCAATTCAAATATGTTGACATGGTCAATACTATAGATAAAGACAACAAAAAAAAAAAAAATAAACAATGGAATGCAAAAATGTAAAAAACTATTTTTGAATTTTAACGTTTGAATGACCTCTTCTGAGGATATCATGTTTAGGTTATCTGCATCCACTTAAGGTCCTTATTATAACTGACTGGATTAAAAAGATTCTAGAGATTACGCTGTATTAGTAACAGCTTAATCAAAAGCTTCAGCTTCCAAATATCTCGATTTGAATATCTGATTGAATTTTATTACCAGTTTATCTAACTGAACATAAATACCGGATGCAATAACTACTGGTATTTCGGAGATCTAAAAAAAATTAAGTTGTGCTCTACAATGGTTATTTGAACGTTTATTCAACAAAATGCCAAAAGCAGATTATTTGACTTAATCGTTTCTCTTTGTGAATATCATGTTTATGTGCATTGGCTAAATCGGCGATCCATTTGTGTTTGGATCCAATGCGCAATTGTTGTGATTATAATATTAGACTTCTTTAAACAGCGTATTTACCTCCTGTTCGCTGCTCATTGTTAGCTGACCATTGACATTTCGCTCCTCTGGCTAACGGCTTTAATAATATTTTCGAACAAGGTTTGAAAGACACCATCGCTAAAAATTTCGCGTAATATTGGATACATTCTATTATTTTTCTTTAACACGAAAATTTATTATCTGAAAATTGACTCTCCATAAAAACTTTAAATAGAGAGCTCATATAAGAAACAAAAGAATTAAATGTGCATAAATATTCACATTTTTTTATCTACTCCTCAACTGCAATAGATTAAACTATAAAAGCAAAGTATAAATCTTTAAACAGATCATCAGAACCGCTCTCAATATGGTTCATTGCTTTAGCTTTTGCTTTTGTAAAGCAGCTTAGTCCACAACTAAACAACTAAAAACATTCCAACACACAGTGCTGAAGAGAATGTTATAAACTCCATGGAATATCGTAATGGTAGATATTTCGAAACAACTGCAAATTGACACTTTTGAAAAATACAGAAAGAATGGAGCATAAAAATTATTCAAGAAAATAGATGCGCATTAGAATCCAACGCCTTCCATACTCAAGACGAAGGGTCTTTACTCTAACAGAAAGAAGATATGTAGATATGTCCGCAAGATAATAAACTAAACCTTATCTTTTAACAGTTATAAGTGGGACTTATTTATTTCCACCCACCTACACCTATATATATATTAAAGATTCTGTTTGACATCAACTGGAATCAACTAACTAACATGACAAAGACTGCAATTCATTTTAATTATTATTATAGTATTGTTTTTATTTTGTACATATACATTTTGTACATATATAATTTTTATTAATTAGTATATACATATTTATATGATACGGAGTTTCATTTCATATTGCCTTTCTTTCAATCCTTAAAATAATTAAAAAAAAAATAAATTAAAATTAAAATAATTTCGATTAGCTGATTACGTTATGGTTTATAGCTGCGATTATGAATATGTGTTTATTTTCTTAATAATCTCAAAATCTTCTTACCCAAGGTACAAATAAGCGAATTGAAATTAGTATCAGTTACAGTGAAAAATATTAGATTTACTGGAAGATCAAGGGGTTACGATATAATAAAATTTGCGGAATATATCATGGGTTAGATCAGTTTACCGTACAATTTTAATAAGCCACTCGACAAATCGGACTAAAGCTAAATACGAAAGAGAGAGATTTGCGGATCTTCAAAGGTACATATATGATGGAATTTTCTGTCGCTATTAAATAAGTCAGTCAATGAATATGTAATTATCTATGGTTGAAGCTAGTAAGTGAATCTTTTCAATTAATTAAAATCAAGTCTTAAGTCATTGGTAAAATAAAGGTTGTCGTATAGGGAATATGGTTTTAACAACTCCCAGCAAATACAAAAGCACATACCAACGCCATAGATATATCACATCTAAGATGGAGGAAGGAACTGAAATTTCATGAAGCGCCTTTCCATAATTAAAGATTATGAAATATTTCTTTGCTCACTTTTTATAGAACGGTTACCACTCCATATGTGTCCTCTTGGTTACGTGCATGGTATTATCTTCATAATAATTTATATAAAATCCAATAATAATATAATGAAATTATAATAAACTTTAAATAAAACTGTAAAGATATGAACTCGTTTAGTATAAATGATTGTCATAAGCTTACCTCAAGTTGATATACACATATCTGCAGTCAAAACTAAATATGTAAATTTTAATTAATTATTCTAATTAATGTTTCGAAAAAATATCAAACAAAAATTTGAATTTAACGTTTATTGTATTTTTATTCATATTAATATATACACGACGCTACAAAGTATTTATGTATATTGATAGTTATGGTTTCATATTTTTACCTGATTTACAGAAGTTTTTTATTATAATATTATAATAATATTGTAGATAAAATAACAATTTGGTGAGTAAGATTTAATTTAAAATATCTGCATATTTAAATTTTTAAAATAAATTTAAATAATGAGCAGATATTATACTAACGCCTAATAATAAAAATAATATTTTTAAAGCTTTCATATTTAGATAATGCATAATTTTATACTAAAGTTTCCGCTAACTTTTTGTCTTTTTTAAAGATTCACTTATAATAAAAATTCCTATATAAATTAGCACGTGCGAATTCTACAACAAATTATTTCAATTTTATTTATTAAGTTATATATAATATATATATTATTATCCTATTAGTTTATAAACATAATAAAAATGTTTTTTAAAGTAATGTTTCGATATACGACGTTGTAAATATAACGTTATATCCAAGACCATCTCGATATCGCCTCAATGGGTTGAGAGAATGAAACCTTTCTTAAAAGTAGACTAATAATTACGGTTGTAAACACAAACTGCCAGCAACTTCCCAACCTAGTTGAAGTATTGCCTTCACCTTGACAATATTCAGGATGTCGTGTATAGTCCTCGCAATAAAACTGAAATGAAAATAATTACAGCATAATAGCAACACCCAGGACCAATACATCTTCATACCTTTGTTAAGCTGTGTGCGTACTTATCGACCAACTCACGTGTGAATTTAGCAGCATCCGACCCACAGATTTTTTTCGCTGCATCTTCAAAGCAGTCAACCAGCTCGTTAATGGAACTAAAATAAATTAATAACATAAGTGAACTTGATCGTTGTATTAAGTTTAGTACTAACCAGCAAATTGTTTTCACATTTTCAACGAAGGTGTTATTTTCGGCGGCTTCCTGATTTTTATTTGGTTTAAGAAAGACCATGGTTTCCTTAAATTGGTTGGCACAAGTCTCAAATTCTTTCTTAGCAATTTCACTACAAGGTGCATGCCTAAGATATTCTAGAACAATAATGAAATGCAGTAAAGTTATTCATAAAATAATAGTGCAGGCTTTATTAACAAATTGTCAAAAGAATTTTCTAAATGGATCTCCTTACCATCTTGAAATTCGCCTTTATTACACAAGTCTCGAATAAATTGGTTGGTTCCATGGTATAATCTATTAAATTGATTACGTTGTTGTAAGTCCATGCATCTTCTTGTGTAGCTCTGTATACATCTTACACCTTTTCGTAATTCACTACAATCAATAAAATAATAATCTGATAAAATGATTGGGTTTTATTTAAATAAAAAGCATATCACATATGTTGATTAAATTTTAAGAGAAATGTGTCATAGTGAGCTACGCTTAGTATGTGCAAAAGAGCTTTTCGATAAATTAAATCCGGCATTTGCAAAAGTATAGCTCACGTTAATATTGACAGAAAAGATCTAAAG